TACCGCAATGCACAAAGAGCTGTCTCGCAGGGCAGGCCTTTAGCTACATTCCAGAGCCAAATCCACTGAATTCGTCCCCGGTCAGGCCGAGCTCGTCCTCCAGCACCACATCCTGGTCCTGCCGGAATGAGAATTAACCCCGATCGGTAGCGGGAGCTCTTCCGTACGGACCTGCACTGGGTATCTCCCGGTTCCCCTGGGGGGGGAGGAGGCCAGTCTCTCCAGCACCTAGGCTGGGATTGGACCAGAGATGGAAATCTGCAGGGTGAGGCCGGAGATGAGGGGCTTTTAGTCATTGAAGGGGGTTTGAAAAACAAACAGTGCATGCAGAATGCCCAACATCTCATTACACTCTTGATGAGAAACACAAGAAATGGGTTTTTATTACGGATTTGAAGATGGGTTTGCACAATACCTTTGAACGTTCTCAACAAAAATGAGTGCCAGTGCTAAAATATCTGAGAACTGGCCCCTTTACTAACAGAGCCTTCTGTCCAACTTCTCAGACTCCTGCAGCATTCAGTCTGACTCATCTGGTGGGTTTTTTGCAGACATTTTCACACAAGGAAGGACATCTATTTTCTTTGACTCAAGGTTCAGACTAGAGCCACAGTACCGGACCCACACCCAGCAGGGCCCTACTGTACTGCCGGCGTTGTGATTTAGCATTTTAAACACATAAAAGGTTTGGGCCTCAGTTAGGCCAAGCGAGCACCCTACAGTATCAATGAGCCCCTAATTAATAAATGCCAAATGAATCAAATGAAGAATTATCTTAGTTTCAATAATATTATTTTTTTATTTTGCTTATTTTTTCGTGTGGATGGCTCTTTTAAAACTTTACTGCCAGAATGAAGCGTGCACCAGGAAAGACAGGGGTGTGCAGTGATGTTCTTTTGTTGAAACGTAACTACCGTTGCCTGAGCGCGTGTAGGTGTAATTATAATCATTATGCTAATTTTCAAATTTTCAGGTGCATCTAAAAATACAGCTATGGTATTTTTTTTTAAATCCTCGCCTACGGTAGATTTTCATTTTTCCAATCGACGAATCACATTGTAGATAACAAGAAACAGCTCGTGCTTTATTTCTGTACCGAGTGGCGTTAACAATGCAACCAATCCTTTTAGGCCCCAGAATTCATTTGTTGCGTTTTTCGTGTCTCTTCTTACATACATTACCAGCTTCAAGGCTTTCACTGCAGTGGAGAACATGGGGGGCCCGTTCCCCTTCGGAAAAGAGGACCCTGGGGGTCCAAACATGAGGAACAGTGTCATACGGGTGTATTACTGAAATGTCATCTCTGAAACTCGGGGGAACTTTTAAAACCAAGAGCAGGAGACACTTCCCTGCCCCAGAGTGTGGTGGGAGTGTGGAACAAGCTCCCCAGCCATGTGGGTGAAGCCAATTTCCTGCTTCTTGCAAGAAATGGCTGAATGTGATCAATTAAATACCAAACAGGCTCGATGGGTCGTTCAGAACCATTCTTATGTCACTAATAAACAACCGTGCTAGCTAGATGAGCTGTGCTCTTGCTGGAAATCTTTCTGTTCATCTTTTTCCTCTGCCTGGCAATAGATGGTCCCCATGACAGTAATTATTCTCCCTAGGGAGAGGCAGGAATGTTGCTGTTGTACCTGCCAGCTGAACAATAATGACCTGTGTCCCTTCCTCCAACGTCCACAAACTAGATGAAACCCAGAAAGGTCGCCACCGTTATCGGCTCAGGTTTGAAAACATTTCAAAGGTCACGGGCGGGAGGCGGGTTCGAGTCAGGTTTTGACACCAGGCTCCAGCAGATCTCCGATTCCGGCGACAACAGCTGCTGTTATATTTAGACGCTCGTCCAGGTCGGGAGGAATGCATGAGAAATGGAAGGTCACGGTGGCACTGCTCTGGAAATGGGCGAGTCACTGGTCACACTGGTACGGGCTGAGGTCACCCTTCCAAAACAGCTCTGAAAGGCCCGAGCTTTCACCACTGCATCCTGCCTGCGAGAACTTGGGATCCTGCCAGCGTCGTGTTGATTCACTCTCTTTGTATCGCAGACCGGCGCTTTCAGTGACCATGCCAAGGTAATCTGCCACCTTTCCCTTTTGACATTTGACTACTGTAAATTTGACCAATTTGCTGTTAACACCCTTTCACGTTACTACTCTTTACTCTGGCTTTACCAGAGTGTACCAGAGTGAACTTTTGTAGGACTTTATTGTTGGTGTGGTAATCTTATAATACTAGGCCAGCTAATTTTAATCCTGTAAACAGCTCTATCTTTAACTGAACCATTGAAAACACTGCGCCTGGGCAGGGTGACTTCAGAGCAAAGGGGAGAGAGAGTAGAAGCTCAGGAAAGTGTTAGATTTACTCTCTCCTACTTGGGATCACGCGGTGACTGGGTTTACTGGGGCAGATCAGGGCAGAGGTATTTTTTGTTTTCCACTACCTGTGGTTTTGCATTATTTAAGGTAGACAGGGCGGACAGACTCATCTATAAGTGCTGGAACAGAGAGAACCTGGGTGAATTCGATATATTGGAAAGTAGAGAGAGCTGAAGTCATCACTCTTTCAAGCATGCATTCTTCACATCTCACATCTAAACGATTACTAATCTAAAATCCAAGGAGCTTCACAAATTGCTTTCTCCTTTGAAGGAACATCCAGCTGTGCAGAGCATACAGAAAGTTAAGCTGAAAAACAATATTTGAAAAATAGTATAAAAACATAAAAAGTAATATCACACGCACACCATCCAGAGAGCTCCCCCCTGTACTTGATTTTCACAAGCCAGCTCTGCCAGTTCCACCTCCTTCCTGGACAATGAGAGATCAGCACTCAGGATATTCATTTACTCATTAAGAGAGTTTTTCGTGTGAGCATGGGAGACATAGGACAAGATAATTATGTTCAAGTTTAAAACAGGTCTTTGGAAAGGTCTTTGGATCTCTGTGGTCTGATTGAAAATTTCCCCCAAAATACAAATTCTATCTCTTTTCCCAGTGTTTGAACACTGCACAGGGTAAACGTGGAAAAATGCTCAGCAAACTGGGGCTACCCTCATGCAGGCTGAGCACAGAGTGTTCTGAGATTGAAACTTCCAGCACAGCACGGCAATAAAATATATTTTTTGCAGAACTGGCGGTTTTACATTAGAAGATGGAAATACAATCATCCCAGAGAACTTTTTTTTAGATTGTATTTCATGTTTGCAAGAAATCCGATAAACGCTAAAACTGGGGCAGGGTGCTTTTTATTTCCTCTGTTTTATTGATTGTTTGAAGGGACAAACGAAGGGGATTGTCTGCGCACTTTCAGTCCCATGAAACAAGAGTAAAAACATCAGGGAAGTCTTTCAACCGGAATGCGATTAATCCTGGCAGTCAGCCGGCTGGGATCGTAATCACCAGCCAGCCTTTAATTTTCACCTAATAACAGCCCACACAACAGCGACCACATCACAGGGTGGTCTCACCCTCTTGGCTTGCTTTCTCTTTAAAATCCTCTCTAAAGCCAAGTGCTATTTGTAGAAGTTAATTCATCTAACTCACAATGTCACACTGATAACCTAGACAGGTCATAAAACGTGTAGCTGGCCTCCTCGTCAGTTAGGAAAACAGATTAATCAGGAGCACAATGCAACTTCAGTTTGTAAACCATTTGCCCTGCAGCTTGTTGGAGCTCCCCACTCAGACTCGGTGCTACGCAGTACACATTCTGGAGACAGACGAGCTCGCTAATCCCAACGGTCATTTTTTTATTTCTATTCCTGTAGCTGTGAGCTACCCTGATACCAAAACATCAGGGTCACAGGCATGCAAGTTAAATTTTACTGATGACTAACCGGCTTATTGGCTCTCTGGGTGAGTTCAGAGAGAAGGTGCTCTAAACCCACAGAGCTGATCTGATCATCCCCTGATACTCCCAACAGGACCGGTAAAAGGGCACTGTAGTAACTTCAGCTCATCAGAGGGCATCTGCATCCCAGAGGATTCTGGAAACTAAAAGAGCAAACATGCTACCTCAGGAACAAACAGGAGAGGGATCCGTCAGGCTCAGCCTTTTTTTTTTCCTTCCTGTGACACTGATAAACTGAGCTTTGTACCCATCAAGCAACTCATTTGCTCTGCAATGTGGAGGCGTTGAGTCACAGCACCCAACATGGATCAGACGCTTAAAAAAAGCCGGAGTCGGTGAAAGAGCTGATCATCTCAAATTATCCTGCTAATTTGTCAGCCGCCTATGGTGCTGTGTGATTGAAACCTTCTTGGAGAGCAAGCCATCACGGGGCAATTTTCCTGCTGATTTTGTTCTCGTTTCTTCCGCTGCTGGTTGTAGGCGCCACAGTGATACTATGCATCATGAGTTATTTTCTGGTACTGAGCAAAACACACGGAGAGACAGTCCTCGCGCAATATCAGAGACTGAGGGCTGACAAGCTGCTGTGTGATATTGTGCTGGTGGCTGGTGGCACAGAATTCCCAGCCCACAGGAGTCTTCTCGCTTGCTCCAGCGACTATTTCAGGTCCCTGTTTAAGGATTACACGAGAGAATCCAAAGCCAGCCTGATAAAACTACAGGTCGTCACTGCCACAGGACTCCAGCACATCCTGGACTTTATCTACACCTCCTGGCTCTCGCTTTCTCCTGACACTCTGGAGGACACCTTAGAGGCAGCCAGCTACCTGCAGGTCCTTGAGGCCATTCAGCTCTGCAGCCAGTACATGATCAGCAACCTGACCCTTGAAAACTGCTGCTTCTTTGCCAATGTTGCATCCAAGTACGGCATTGGGGATGCTTTGTCTGCTGCCAACAGGTACATCAGCAGCAAGTTCAGGGAGTTACTCCTCTGCAATGTGGATTCCGTGGGACTTCTGGAGCTCAACACAGAATCCCTGATGGACATGCTGGACTCAGAGGGAATGCCAGGAGTAAGAGAGCTCTCACTCCTAGCTCTAGTGCTGGAATGGTTGAGGAATAACAAGCTCTCGGCTGTGAAAAGCAATCTGATACTGAGCAAGATCCGGTATGGGCTTATTCCTGTAGAGGAGCTTACTAACCTTTATTCTACGCACGAGTCTCTGCAAACCCCATTTATAAAAAGCCTTATTTTAAAAGCAATGAACTACCACTCCCTGGGTCACCAGCAGCCACTGATTCAAAGCACACAGACAACGCTAAGGAGCCAAAGAACCCATGTCGCTCTAGTTGGAGGAGGGACCCAAATGGATGGGCTTGTTAGAGAGGTCTTAGCATTTGACCCTTACCTAAAGAAATTCAGATCCCTCACAGAGCTCAAGGTTAAGGTTCAGAACCACTGCGTTTGTGTAGTTGGGAACTTTCTGTATGTGCTGGGTGGAGAGGCCATAGAGATCAACGAAAACGGAAAAGTAGTGACAACAGTAGTCAATAACCAGGTTTACCGATATGATCCCCGTTTCAACCGATGGGCTGAAGCAGCTGGGATGCTGGAAAGAAGGGCCCAGTTTGCATGCTGTGCAGTGGATGGCAGAATATTCGCCATTGGTGGAAGAAGTGGGATTGAATCACCACATTCTTCCATGGAGGTCTATGACATCAAGACAAACACGTGGCAGAAAGCCGAACACCTGCCACAGAAGATGCATGGTCACGCCTGCACCGTGTACAGGAACACCATTTACATTTCGGGGGGAGTGCACACCAACCAGAGAGAGAGCAGCAGACAGGTGTTCAAGTTCAACATCCTTGAAAGGCAGTGGAGGCCGTGTGCTGCCATGTCCATTGCCCGCTTCAGCCACCAAATGGCAGCAGTCAAAGACAAGATTTATACATTTTTGGGGATGTATGAGCCCTTTTGTGACATCGAAACATATGATCCAATAGAAAATCAGTGGACCAGGTTAAAGCCTCTGCTGAACGACAGGTTCTCCTATGGATTGGTGGTGGTTGAGGGCAGCATTCTGTTGATAGGTGGGAAAAAGTGGCACAATGCTCAAGAGGTCTCCACTCCTAGTGTCCTGGAATACGATGTGGATGAAGACAGCTGGACAGAATTATGCAGGCTTCCCCGTCCACTATACGGATCGCAGTGTGCCCTGCTGCAGCTACCAGACCCCACAGAGCCGTAAATGACAGGCCACATCACTGGAACAACTTATTCGGCTTTCAGCTTCAGTAGATGAAACACGGGGAAGTAGAAACTGAGCGACTGGAGCAGGATCGTAGTTCCCTTTCCAGAGGCTAACACTGCTGCATAGGAAGAAAGGGGAGAAAATAAAATGGACGGAAAAAGGATTTGTGCCAAGTGGAGAAGAAATTCCAAAGGGCACCGTAGGAAGAGAGAGAATGAAACACGTGCCGTCATGGAGGGTCAAGAGAAAGTGCATGACTGAAGAATACTATCCACAAAGAAAGGTCTCTGAGCTTCACTAATAAGTTTGGCTTATCAACGAAAGTAAAAATTCCTCCTAAGCAATGGCAGTGCTGCTCATGCCAGTGCCCGTTCACCACTGGGCAGGTTGCAAAGGACCTTTAAATGTGCAAGACTGGGAACAAACAGCCTCTCCCTCCCCCCACCATGACCAAAACCTCACAGCCCAAAGTGAACCAACACGCTCTTCGCCTCAGCTGGCTGGGAGACAGGGACTGGGACAGGAAGTCATTTTCTCCGAGCGCTGAACCGAGGGCTCTGGACTGCCGGGGAGGAAGAACTTCCTCTTCGTCAGAAAAGACGAGTCTGGTTTCTTTTCTTTTTATTTTTTAACTCGGACTCGCCGCTGAACTTTAGTCAGAAAGCTGGTGCATGTGAAAAGGTAGCGAAGAGACTGATCGTGGGAAAGATAAAACCATGGAAAAAGAGTGAGGATTTGGGTGATCGTGTTCTCCTTGGGTGATTTCGAGAAGGAAATTTCGAATGTAGGGGGCATGGAGATGCAGCAAGTAGTGTGTTTTTCTTTTTTTTTAATTGTATTGCACACGGAGCTAATGAACTGTGACTTAATATTAAAGTAACTGGTAAGTTGTGGATCTTTAGGCTTTGAGCAGTGAGGGAAAGTAAATAAAGGAACACATCTGTTAACCTAACAAAGTGTTTGCTACCTAATAGAATAGTTTTAGAAAATCATGCCTAGAGTTTGCTTGCCATAAACAGGAGCAAATATGACTTTGTCTTCCTCAAAGCTTTACATGCACACCAAATGTTTTGTGTTCCTGCTGACATGCCTGCATGTGTGATATATAAGAATAATATAGAATATTGTTTTTAATTAAGGTGAAAATGCCACCCCATTCCATTAAAATGTATAAAAATCTGCTTGACGGTATCACCATGTTGTACGTACCCCTAAAATCCAAAATGCCCACTTCTTAAGCGTATGAGCCCATAAAAAAGGCTAGAAAAAAAAATGAATGTGGGAATAGTTTGCTTTTTTTGTTGCTATAATTCATGCAAAAGCAGGTCTAAAAAAAACAAGAGGGGACCTGAAGAGCCCATGAAGAAACGGACAGGGCTGTGAAATGGAATTTGAATTTCCAGCCTTCTTAAATCGAGCAGCCAGCCTTGTGACCAGGCTCCTGATTCTGTATCGGAAGCCAAATGTGCCTGAGAGCCGTCCTCTCCTCCCCAGCGGACAGAAACGCATGCTGAAAATACTCGCACGCAGTTAAGAATGCAGGTTCACAAGGCAGTCATTATAACCCATAAATTCAAATATTCCCAGTCAACACACTGTGATACACACGCCTTTTCCATAACTTCCAGGCCTTGAAGTGGTGATGCCATATATTGACAGAGGAATGTAGATTTTAATCATTTTTTTTATGTAAGAGAGTCAAATTTTGCACCCCCCAAACAAGGCTGTTTGTACAGTATGTTAACGACTGGAACGGTTTCCAGGACAATGTAAACAGAATAATCCCTCAGAAAACTTGAGGCTTAAAGGCTTACTTGTTTTATTTAGATGGTTATTCTTTGTTTCTAGGAAGGAATGAAAACAAACAGGCTGTGTCTAAGCATGTTTTATCGCCACCTATTGGAAGAATTCCAGAAGTGCAGTACAGAGGACCTCAAGGAGAGTGTGTGTATGGGGAGTACACCCTTTAAATAGAATAAAACATGCACAGGAAAAACACCACACACAGGACTAATAAATTACTCTGTATTCTCACCCACATGCACTACTTCAGTAAAACAGTCAGGAAAATGTTGTATTCAGGTACCAACATACAATAAGTGACTGAAATGATAAAGCAATAATTTGATGTTGCAGAATTAGTTACAAAGGCAAAGTCTGCAGCAATATAATCATGAGCAAACATCTTGGATGGGGGTAGGAGCTAGGTAGGAGTTAGTGCTTCGAAATAGGCTTACAGTACTCCTAGTGATGTTGGCCATGTGGGTACAGGCACTGTTACATTTCTAATTACAAACCTAGACTTTAGCCATGCTTTATAGCCCTTTACATTTGTTCCATTCTCTGCATGGTGCTCTAAGGCTCTATTCCTGCCCTTACCAATATATCTTGATCTACAGCAATCTTGGGCAGCTTGACAAGGCACAATACGTTTAATGACCTTTATCAGCATTAGCTAGCTCAATTGCTTTACGCAACAGAGAATCCATAGTCTGTCCCACATTACAGAGCACCATGTGATCTCATGTGCAACACATTGTGTGGACCATGACATCCGTAGTGTGATGGGCTTTCACCATTCTCATTGTATTAATTTTTTTGCATTTTGTTTCTTTTGTGAATTGAGGTACTTTATAGTATTATCTTTATAGACAGTGTATGCTTGAAAATTTGAACATTATTCAGATACTAGGACATAAGCGTTCAAGCCTTTTCGCCTATAATTTTAAATAATTTGCTGAAAGAGTATTTATACAAACTGATAATTTACTTAGTGGTCATGGCCCAAGTGGGGACAACAATCTGTATGATTATTGAGATGTAAATATTGGGGGCAAAGACAGAGACTCTGCCTTCCCCTCCAATAACAACCGAGAAAGATGGTTCCCAGTCCTGGTCCCGGAGGAACACTGTCTCTTCTGGTTCTGATTTAGGCTGAGCTCTTAATCACAGTCTACTTGATTGCAGTTTTCTATCTGGGGCACATCTCTAAATTTGCTTTCACTTCTTAAAAGGTGGAATGCAAGATGGAAATGGTATCAACCCTGGGCCAACATCTGAGTTTCAGAACAGCCCTATTTCATGGTGTGTTGCCTGAAACTTAACCAACCAGACCTCAGCAGAAAGGAAAAATGTCCACTGTGGGCGTGTAAGATACAGTATCGCTCTCACTGTGGGCTTGTCTGATATCCTCTCTCCCGCTATGGGCATGTCTGCTAGTGTTTACTGGAAAAGGTGTGGATGTGCCTAATAATGGCACGTGGTGCCAGACCCATTACGGGTGTGTCCGACACAGTGCTGCATCCATTAGGGACATGTGTGATACAAACGTGTGTCTGATGAAGTGCCACTCCCACTTCTGCTTGTTCATCAGTTAACTAAATCGTAAGAGCTGTTCGAACGGAAACACGGGAACCGCAGGCATGTCGAAGAGAGACTGTGTAAAGGACGTGTGTCTTGATGCTGCCTGGAACCGTAACCTTGAATGAAGGTACTTTTGACACTCGGGACTGACTGAAGAAACAAGTCAAAAGAAAGTCTAAGCAAGCAAGCAGATCAATGAAGCCATCGATTAACACTGGGGATGTACAGTACAGCTCAGCTGGGATGAAAACCAGCAGATGGTGTTCCTCGAGGATCAGGACCTGGAGTAATCGACCAAGCCACTGCGGAGTTCTCCTTCCACATTCAGGTTTCCTGTGGTGCTGGATTGGAAGTTGTGATTACTGTATATGGTCTTGCTGCTTTCAGACAGTTCATTGAAAACATTTCAGAGTAGAGGCTGCAAATTCGATTTATAAGTGCTTTATTATGTGCAAGGTATTCGGAGAGCACTGATAAACTGGTTAGAGCCTCAACTTGAAGATTAACTTCACGTTTATTAAAAAACATATTGTGCTCATACTGTATGTAAATGCTTTATTAAAATTTTAACAGCTTCATTTTGATATATACAGCATATTTGCAGCCGCTAAATTAAGCTTCTTTTTTTAAATACCATGACTTCATTTTGTATTTACTAGTACCCATAAAAGGAAGTAATAACATTATTTTCAAGAAAGCACACACTGTTTTTAAACACAGGATCGTTGCGTTTCCTACCATTTTTCTGTCTCTCAATGTCAGACGACAAGCTCAATATTCACAAAGCAAAATGCAGCACAAGGAATTGTGTCTTCATTTTAAGAACTAAAGTTTATTGACTCCAGTTATAACCACATGTGCTTGAAAGCTGAAAACCCATAAAATAAAAATGTATAGATTAACTTGTAACACAACACACCCTTGAAAGAACGTTCAAGAACAAGTCTACATAAATGCAAGAATGAAGTTTAGTGAGCTCATGCTACTCTGTATTCAATGGTACTTCAGATGCTTTTATTTTGCAAAGGGACGCACTTCATCTCTCAGCACGTGAACAGTCCCTTTCCATAAAGTGCAATCTTAAAGGCTGTTGCATAGCAACAGATTAAAAACAAATACTTATATTAAATGGTCATCATCATTAGAATCTGCAACATATACAGTAAGCCTTTTTGTTTGATTCCTACAGAACGTCTTTTGGTCCAGGACAGTTCAAATACTAAACAATTGAGTTTGAATGTTTCTAGGTTCCTAAGTTTATTTGGCAGCTGCAGTTGAACCTCACAGAATTTTAAATATCTAGTTCAAGAATCATGCATAACAATCAGAGCCAGTCACTAATATTTTTATACAGTATATATGCATATAGAAATGTTCCCTTTTCCCCTAGATTGTACAAATAATCCCCCTGGAACCAAACATCCATAACAAATATAGGAGCATTATTACTAATCTTCTTTCTTAGGATTATATGTCATGAAAAGGTTGGGAATGAAGGCTACTGGCGTGTTGTGGCTTTATTTGTTTCTGTGCAAACTCTGCAAAAATTAACTTATTACAAAAGGTAGAACTTCTGAGAAACACAGAACTCTCTGGAGGAGAGTGCTGGCTCGTTCCATTGCTCTGTGACGCAAGCTCAGTGCTGAGCAGGGCATGCGGGAACAGAAGGGTAACAGCTCAACAGCCCTGAAAGCCGTAAAAAGCACATATCCAAGGCCATGCTTGTCGAAGTAACAAGATGACTGCTCCTAAACAATACAAAACATTTCAAGAACAAGCTCCTTTTTCAGACAGCAGCGGGGCATGGCAATGAAGAAATACATGATAAAAAAAGACAGTTTCTGTGTTGTTTGATAACATTTGAAGAGTTCAGAAATACCCCCACTCTTCACTGAGTTTTTGATTTTGAAATATCTGTCACCACATGTTTATAACAAGGTCTTTATCCCAACGCATCCTGAATAAAGGTTTCAGGGAATCTGCATGAAATCTTCATCGTCCCTTGAGGGATACATCAGAAATGCCATCTTGGAAGGGAACAAAGTTCTGCAAAAGTAGACTGTGGGAAATCATTTCACCCATCGCTGCAAGCAGATACCAACACAAAATTTGGAATTCTGAAATTGGCTAACTTTACTTTTTTCTCATTCAGAAAAGAAAGACGGGACAGATTTAGGAAGGAAATTCACTTCCATCAGCTAATTTGTTTCAAATAATCATTTCTCCACTATTAGCACAATGCCATTCAAAATACACATCATTATTCAGAAAATTTCCTTAAAAAAACTTTAACTGTGCCATTCATTTTGACTCAAGAATGAAAACATAGGGAGTATCGCAGAATTCCCTCTTCCATAAGAAAAGTCACACTAGTCCCAGTGTGCTCTTCAACGTTTATGAAACTGACACATGTTCAAGCCAAACTGCATTACAGAGAAAAAAAGCATCTTTGAAGGATGTGCAAACTATTCACCTGTTAAAGATGAAGTACATTCTAGTTATATTCTGTCTCAGGCATTTTCACATTGCAGTGTTTAAAAAATCAGCTGTACTTTCCTGACCAGACCACAGACCACCTGGTGAAATACCATGAATTCGCCACACGAAGTTTAGATACAGCAGAACCACCTTTATGGGCAACATCAAAAACAATATGGCATCAAAAACACAAGCTGGCAGAGCCTAAAGTCCTGAGCCAAATTCTTCAGTGGCTTTATGGCACGTGGTTATGATATCATTAGCAGAGAATTCAGTAATGAAATACTGTAAATCTAAACATGGCAATACCAGCTTCTGCAGGCTGTGGTTATACTGGAAATATACAGGACATGGAGCTCTGTGACCAGGAGCAATCATTAAACATTGGTTTATGTAAACAGGACTGATGAAGAGGACACATTATCACCTTTAGATTAAAACTACACAAAGGTCCTTCATTGTAACCATTGAAAGGAATACTAAGAGGTGAACAGGACAGTATTCTTGGACAGCTTTGATGAAACTAGATACAGCAGAGCTAAGATGGGTTCCAGCCCAAGTAGATTGCTTTTTATAATAAATAAAACACTCCTTAATTGTATAAGGCAGTCTCTATCCCATAGTGTATCTGTAACGCGTAAAACTGAATAATCAAAACTCTCTGTTCAGGTTGTTGTTGCTGGCTGTTGTACCTAAGCATGTTCCTCCCATTCCCACTACTTTACAAGCAGGTTTTGTGAATACAGAGTTTCCTAGATGTCTTAAGAAATATTCAGATTAACAAACCTCTAGTCAAAATATGCAGGTACCGTACCATCACTGACAATGGCATCATGAGCAAGTAAACTGAGCACAAGAGCTTGAATCTGGACAAATATAAGAACAATACAATATGTATTACACAACACAGTCCGAGACACGGTGGACACAGCCAGGGGGGGCCCACTGCAGACGCGGGGCACGCCTGTCCCACACACCGCGGCCGCCGGCTCAAACGTGAGTCTCGATGTACGAGTGCGTGTGGGCCAGGGAAGGCATATGAGCGGCCAAGTCAGGGGTGCCATTGACAGGGTCTTTGCTCGAGCCTTGGTGGCAGATTTCTAGAAAAAGCTCAAGGTACATTTTTTTCCACTCCTGAAACTCTGAGGATGTCAGCTTGGGATTGTCCAGCAGCTTGTCTATGATGGCTATTTCTCCCTCTCTAGCCTACAAACAGAAAGAGACAGTGGGGGTTAAAACAGCACGCACGTCAGGCTCTCTCTCTCTCTCTCTCTCCGGCCTTCCTCCTCCGCCCCGTTCTGGGAGGAAGACGGCCCCGCGCCTCCTCCGACGCGCTCACCACACTGGGGACACGGTCACAGCACACAGCACCCCGGGACCCAGGAGAGGGGCAACGTTCACGACTCCTCCTTGCTAAGGGGTGTGATCCACTTCAGACTGTAGCATCTGTGGGGTCTTACCCTGACACAGTGCCGGATTTCCCATTAGGCACTGTAGGCACTTAATCCGGTGGCTCTGTGGCCCAGGATCTGCGCCTGTGGCTGGAAGGTTGCCGGTTCGTATCCCGCAGCCGGCAGAGGAATCCTACTCCATTGGGCCCCTGAGCAAGGCCCTTCACCCCAACTGCTCCAGGGGCGCCTTATAAATGGCTGACCCTGCGCTCTGACCCCCAGCTTCTCTCCCTGTCTGTGTGTCTCACGGAGAGCAAGTTGGAGTATGCAAAAAGACACATTCCTAACGCAAGAAATTGTATATGGCCAATAAAGTGATCTTATCTTATCCAAGTATGACTGTAGGCACAGTGCCTAGGGCCTACGAGGGAGGGAAACACTAGTGAGTAACGTAAAACGCGCTGAAACAACATGCTTGCGATCGACTCTAGGTGCTCCAAATCAATAATCATCCGAATCATCATTCGGCTGTTGCAGATAGGAGAAGTATCGAAGTGATGGTCACTCGACGCTCTTTTAAAGCTTGACAGTTTAAAGCGCATCATGTCAATCGCCGTCATTCAATTGGCGTTTACAGCTCTTTTCGCACATGTCAGAGTGAAAGTGCCGAGGGCCTTCGAACAGCAGAATCCGACCCTGCACGGTCCGAGACCGCGGTCACCAAGTGCTGCAGATTTTAAAAGCCATGAGTCTGGCTCAGGGTCCGGCAGGGAGATTCGGACAGAGAAGAGAGGGCTGCATTCTCTTAGCAATTCAGTTTTTCTGCTTCGCAAGCTCCACCTGCACACTAGCGCAGGGCTTCTAAAACCTGAAATGGACCAAACCGCTGAGCAACTGGGAATCGCATCCGTTTTTTTTTTTTCCCCAGCGGGTGTCCCTAGAGAGGCCCGGATGGATAGTGCTGACTTTCCTCCGAGAGGGAGGCAGAGAGTGCTGCTTTTATTCCTGTATGTTTATTTTATTTTTGTTAAAAAAAAAGCCAATTCCATATGGTTTGAAAGACCGCAGTGCGAGAACAGACGGCGTGAAGCAATTTGAAATCCGTTCAGAAGTCTTCCTGCCCTTGGCAGTGCATTTCTACAGCCTGCCAGGCAGCGCTGCTGACGCGGTACTAAGAGAAGGAAGGACTGACTGGGTCTCATCACAGACAGAGTGAGGCACGGCAGGAGAACCCTGTGGGGTTGCAGAGCAAGTGTGTCACACCTCTTGCTCCTCTTTTTTCACGTTATTTACCCGCATCAGAAGCGATCTGTACACTCGGCACCCACGGGCAGCGACAGGGAAGAGCTGAGAGTGGTATACACAGCAACAGGCAAGGCACAAGACACGTTAGCGGGGACGCCGATCAACTCACAAAGCTCAGCCAGGAAAACGAAAACAAAAACCAAAACAGAAAACCAGCAGGTGAGATCGGACCGGCACCAAAAAAAAAAAAAATCACACACAGCAAAATAAAGGCGGTAACTGAGAAATAAAACTGCTGCCGAAGCACAGGATCCAACCAGAGATGAAAGCCGCAGCCAAAAGTCCAACCAAAGCACAACGACACAGCCAACCGCGTGTCGAGAAGTCAAGCAAAGTCAGCACAGCCGCTGGGTTGGTGTTTTTTTGCCAGAAAAGCGCAGCCCGGCTGCAGACACGGACAGAGGTGCCTCGCGCGACCTCCCGGGGGGGGCCCGGATGACCCCAGCATCGGGGCTCTCACCGTTTGAAACTAATGGGGCTCACTCTGACCCATCAGGGCGGAGGGCGTCGCCTGAGCAGGCGGTTGGCTTCCCTTTCCAACCTACAGTATAAATGTACGTGTCAGATCCAGATCGCTCTCCTCCTCGGGCGGGGGGGAGCCCATTGAATCGAATCAAAGAGAAACAAAAACCGCCCCCTGGTACGGATAATCGTTTGTGAGGTCGCGGTTCAAGGCGACGCTTCCGGCCTTGTGTCGGAATTAAAGCGCTCCAATTTGGAGGAAGACCACAGCGATGTCGGAGAGGTGTGGCATCGTGCTGCGAGGTTGTGGCAGGCGAGGGGGTGACCAGCGCCCACACTCGACGCTCTGACCGGTCGACAGAGTGATTGGTGAAAGTGCAACCAAAGCCCCAGTAATTACAAGGGTCTACTGCCCTTTCGTTTGACATCTGCCTTTGCGTCTCTACCGTTTGGCCTACCTTTAAAGTGCTTTTGAGGATACGGAGGCGGTGCAGCTTCTCGTTGATCACGGGGTCGTTGCAGCGCTTGATGAAGGAGCGCTTGTACTCGAGTTTGGTGGACAGCCGGCGCTCGCCCAGGGGGGACAGGCTGGCCCGCTCCAGGGCCCAGTACAGGTCCCTCAGCGAGTCGGCTGCCCTCTCCTCCTCACGCTCGCTGCCTGGCGGGGGAAAGGGGAGACAAGCGCAGGTCAGGCGCAAAGCTGAGCATTCTGAGCAAGGCGTGCGTACTTCCTGGGAAGTGAAGTGAAGTGTAAGAAAGCAGGCTTTTCGCAGGACACCGTAGCGTGCTGCTGTAAACGCCAAAGAGGTCAACATTTCTATGCATTGGAAGTTCTAGTAGGCAGCTGCGTCAGCATGCATAGGCTGCAAAGGAACAAGAAAAGGTTGATTCCATGCTGAAAAGAGAAGAAAAGACAATTCTCACACCTGAAGAAGGCTCCACAGCCGAAACGTTGTGTTGCTTTTCTTCTCATTTCAGCATGGAATCAACCTTTTCCTGTTCCTTTGCATTTATTTCTTGTGCTGCCAGTTCTTAACTAGCTAGAGGAGAATCGTGTATTTTGTACTATAAGTGTGTCTGTCACATGATGTCCCTTTACCCTTGCGGTTGGCCGATTCTGCTTCCCAGCACTAAAAGCACGCCGACGATGGCGAACGAGGCAAGCCGTATCTCATTAGTCCCCGGAGCGCTATTTGCAGGCGAGGCAGATCAATTATTCCAGGGCAGTTGGACTTCAATTCAATCCTACAGGTTCCCCTAGTGACGAGTGTGCATATGGTCGTCCAGTTATTTTCGCCAGTCGTCCAATGAGACATCCCACAACTCGCTATTCAACACAATGGAGATACCCTTGTAGTTTACTATAATCAGAACTACAGTTTATGGTGAATAATACTAAACACACTTCCTGTGCCCCAGCGGGGATGAATGTGTTTCTCTAAATTGGGATCTAGCAAAGATGCAATAGTTGCTAATTGCCTTTTAAAGGGAGGGATGCTGTTGTAGAATAAACACAGAAAATGCAGAACACTATTAACACTATTAATGTTAACACTATTCAATTTCTGTTTCTGTCACAATTAGAATACTAAAGCTCTGTGAACATCTAATCAACAAAAGCAGAAATTCAGTATTTGCACCAGTAACAATCAGTAAATGGCTTATAACGGTCCTTGAAATAAAAGAAGGACAGATCCTGACATAAATTCAAAAAGGGGGCCTGAGGTAAACATCAGGCGTCACCAAGGTACTAAGGCCAAAGACAGAGCGAGTGCAGCCAGACGGCCTTTAAGGCAAGTGTGGGGCTGTGTTCAGGACGTCCCAAAGCAGAATGTCAGCGGCCCATAGCTGGGCGCACAGCTATTTATTATTTTGGAACCTCCAAAAAGAATCCCAGCACCTCTCTTTTAGGCCCCCTGACAGCCTGACCCCTCTCCATGTGTCCCCGGCCCTTGACTTCTGACCGCTTGAGGAGGCCCCTAATAACTTCAACAGCCCCATGGCAGCTTCTGCCCAGCTCACGCCATTCAGGCCCCCCCGGGAAAGGAGTCCGTTTTTAGCACAAGACCACTTACACACGATCTCCCCGTCCAGCTCGCTGGCCCTGATCCACCGACACTGTGCCGGTCTCTCGGGTCTCTCGTCTTTCATTCTGGATCAGCGTGAGCGTGAGTTAAAACCGTTAAGGTCTTCCTTCAGCGAGAGCTCTTGAGCTCTAAATGACTAAATCAGCTTGTAGGAAACAATCATCGCTTTCTCCCAGATCTGTTGGGTCTCCAAGTACATAAATGTGTGATTTTTGAGGTCATGAACCTAAAACAAGAACTTACATTCGAAGCCCAAAGACATACAACAACACCTGCATTTTTGCCTGTTCTGGTAATTTATTTAGCTAATAATGATACACGGGGGTCTGCTGTGTATTTGAGACTGGGTTTTAGCAGCCGAAACACAAAGCAAAAATAATGAAAAAAATGTCCTGTATTTGTGAATGCTGAGCACATCACTTTCCATTTGAAAGTTTTAAAGAACCAATTAAAGGGAATCAAAAGTGTACAGGGATTTAATTAGAACAGCAGCTCAACTTACCAGAGCCTAGCGTTTGAAATGTCAAGACGGCCCAGTTGTGAATTAGAATTTTCATGCTGGCTAATTTATTCCTAGAGCCAGTAAAGGGCTTGACAGATTAATGAAGTAAACTGCATACTGCTACACTCAGCTGTCTATGTTACATTCATGGATTTCCTTTCAAGTAAATGATACAACTACGACTCAATTATGAGCACTGCCAAACTGGAACGACAACACTCTCGCCCTGTTTGTGCTGTAGCCGATGGACTGAAATGTTTTTTTTTTCTGTTCTTTACCGATTTAAAACAATGTCATACAGGCAAACAGGGACCTTGCCCAGAATGTGTTTTGCATCTATGAAGGAATGGGTCGGATAAAATCCAGGACCGCTGGCGTGCCATTCTCACTAGCAAAGTAGCAGGGATACGAGTTTTCAAGACCAGTACACGGCACTGGGGCTGTGAACGCTGTGGGCAGGATCGGCTCCACGTGCTGTCCATCAGTGGGGTCTGCAGCAGTGCGAGAACAAACTACAGCTCACGTGCCTGAGGAATGTTGCACGGCCCGAGCAAAAACGGGTGTTGCGAATATCCAAACGGTCCATGAACAAAACACCGCTATTAAAGAACACAACCATCTAGTAAGTACACAATGAAAGTGACTTGCTCCTTCCAGCAAAGGGCCCTCATTAACATTGCGGTCAGGAGTGACAGATTCATCAGGTGCTGGGCACGCAGTCTGCCATTTTATCACTCCGTACAGGAGCCGAGCAATCATTTAAAGATGATCCCAATATCCTTGACCTGCGACAGCCCCTGCCACGACTCCCAAGCACGGCTTAGGGAAATCTATTAAGCACAGGATGCATGAGAGGATGTGTCATTGCTTCTCATCATGTAGGTGTGGGCAAAGCTCGGCCTCTTTTCCCAGGAAATCCATCACCCGAATAGGCAGAGACCCAGGTGACATCCTGAAATGGTTATTGTGCAATCATTTGAATTTACTGTACATCTGAAACTGCAACAAGAACACCAATAGTTACACTAATGCAACCCACGATGTATTATGCACAAAATGCATCACAGGAAACAGCATCATTTCTGTAGGATTTATAGAAGCACTGAAACAGAATGGAATACTCTTCTTTATTACATTATTATGATCCTGTATGTTTACTGTTTACTGCAAAACTAATTTCTAATGTAAAGGATTTGTTTTATTTCCCTTTTTGCATCAGTAAAATCATTTTGCATGTGCTTTTGTTTCTCTTTTAAACCTCCAAGTCCTGTTTTGCTGGGGGTGGTTTAAAGAGAATTTCTCCCGAGTGAATCTGTACCCTCTGCACTGGACTGCAGGCACAATCCCGGCCAGTCCCCCCAGGACACCCCTGCTCCGGGACATGGAGGCAAGACAGAACCTCTTTAATGGCTTCTGTCACCTCCTTCAAGAGACTAGTCCCGGCTTAATGAACCCTTATTGCAGCTATTTAGTTTTGGGCCATTAATATCTCTTGGTTGATCTGTGCTCCTGGTCTGCTTGGCCTTGCAGGCTCTCACTCTGCATGCAGGGCCATACCTGTGCACAAGGCAGGGGTTAGCCACAAGTCGGCAAAGATTAGGAGAACATGCTCTGCTTCCTGCTAGAGAAGACTTCCCCTGCTGCCCATGCCGGGTTGTGCAGTAAACAAGACAAATGCTTAGAAAAAGCATTAGGAACCAAAGGCTTTTAGAGGTGGCTCTGTGAGGCATGCTGAACATAACTTGCACTCTCATCTTTATTTTTTATTCGCTCATAGGTATGTTCTTGCTTTGCATGAAATAGTATTGTCTTGGGGCACAAATTCTACACATTAAGGGAAATAGTCAGCAGCTTGGATTTACAGGACCAGCTAGAAGTTTGCAAAATATTCAGCGACATATCGCAGGATGTGATTGTCTTCCTTAGTGAGACAGTTTCTCCGGAGAAACATGAGATGCAGTACAGATTGATTCACAATGCATACTAAAAGAGAAGGACAAGAAGCACAGTTCAGGAAAAAAATGAGAGTGACTAATTTCCAACTCTTAATAACATTTTTTTTAGTTGTGATAATATTCCTTCTTCTCTCTTATTATATTTAATATCTTTATTTTTTCTGTTATTCTTTAATAAAATTATTGTAATTAAAATACTCTATTGTCTTTACTTTAAAATATGCAATACCGAACAACAATTGTAGTTTAAAGTGCATAATACAATTTAAAAAACTTGTCATATCCAGGACTATGCGCAAAACAATATACAGTTTTAAATGTCTCGAGATAACTGTAATCAAAACTGGGATTTATTATCTTGTTCGAAAAAGCAATAGAGAATATACAGCACTACCATACTACAGGCCAGTAGTTTTATACATTATGGTTGATTTCTTAGTTGGGATTTTTCAAATGAACATTTCAAGTAGTTGCGTAAGACAAGTGTAAGAGGAACTGTATTTCAAACAGCTGGATGTCTTCTTCAGTGTTTCCTTCGAATGTGCAGAGATGTCTCAGGCTGGTCACCTCCTGAAGTGAAGTTAATACTTTTTTTGTTCTGTACTGCATTAACCTAAAGTTTCCCATATGCTTTAGTGTTTACACAGCAATATGCTTAAGAATACAGGATTGCAAACAAAAGGAGACAATTTGTCCCACCTACTGTAATGCACTTACTGTAGTTGCTAGTGGTTAAAACATTGACCTAGCCTTTTTTAAAGGACTGCAGGGAATCACATCAACAACATGGCTCAGTATTTTGTTCCAGGCTCTAAGAGCTCCTACCCCAGCGAAACACGACACAGACCTTGTTGTAAACACTGCTGAATGCCAACAACAATACCATGAAATTCTAGGCCTGTGAGAAGCCACAGACGTTTGTGGAGATGGTTCGCCAAGCACCTTGGCTGAGTGTCCACCTCGATGGCTCACGGAGAATCCTTAAGGGACTAGAACTCCAGAGCTCACGGTTCTAGATCATGGCTTTCGGTTCTTGTCCTGAAAGCTGCTGGATCAGGTTCATGGTTGGTGGCCCAGACTGTGTTCTGTTCCCGGCTCTGACATTCTGAAATCGCAGGGTGCATTCTAGAACACCCAGTTCCACTCCCCACTCTCCTCGCTGGTGAGCAAAGCACCTGCAGCAACAGCTCCTGTTCCTCAGTTTCCTGTCCATTAGAGAGAGCAGAGGCCACTGACTAGTCTTTTCAACCTGAGCCTGCGGAGATCAGATATAAGACTGAAAAGGCACATATCTGAACGTCAGGCACATTAGTAGAAAACTGGAGCCGATTCCAGATAAAACACACAGATCGGCCCGAAGCCTCCGTCTCGCTGCCTGCTGAAAGGCGGAAGGGAGGCCCACAGAACAGGAGAATAAAAGCAGCACACAATCTGGCCAGACTCGACCAACAAGTCTCCCATTCACGCAACACCCTTCACTACTCAAAAGACACATTCACTCACTGCAGCTGCTTGCGACCCACACAACTATGCACACTTTTGTTGGATTTGACCCATTCACACACATCACAGAAAGCAGTCTCTGGCACTGCTAAACTCTCTGAACACTGTCAGACAAAGCGTCGTCAATGCACATCTAACTGGAGTGCTGGAGGTAAAATGGAGCAAAATGCAAATACCAGTGGAATGTTGCTTTTTGTTTTCTCATATCTCAGCACACCTGTCAAAATTTGCTGAACTAGTGAGCTACGTAAAGCAGAAGAGCCCACACAACCTCTAAAACATTTTATCCTGTGTGGTGGAAAGCAGCACTTAAAAAGATTAATGCACCAGGAAGGAAATTCAGACTCATTTAGTGCTCTTTACTAGGTGATTTAAATGTTAAATGCACACATGGTTGACAATTGTTTGTTATAAATCAAATAATTGGTAATAACAAGTTAGGGCACATGTCCCATTTCTACATTATGGTGTTTTTAATGAGCAAACGTGTCTAAAGATTCATGCTGTGGTATCAAGCATGCAGAGTAAATCTTCATTTGATCACATTCAAAGCTATAAAAGTTACTCTAGCAGGTATTATACAATGTTATAAAATAGCAAGTGAGTACGCTGTTCTCTGATGAGTGAGTTTGAGACCAGACCTGTACTGCTAATGATATCACAGATGAAGATCAGGCAACTCTAAAGCACCACCAGATACAGTTTATTAACCTGCGTATTAAAACACCACACCCACTCAGATGACAAGGGTGGCATTTATAACTATATGCCATTTTTCTTCATTTCAAACATTACCAAAAACATAAACCACTAGGTTTCTTTCTAAGATAAATCCACAGCATGACCAGAATAAATACAATTAATTTATCTCTGATCTCTGTATACTGATCGAACATATTTCGAACCTTATGTTAAGTTACAGCTCGGCTTTGATGTGCCTTGTATTTTGTATTTTTAATGGAGTTGCACAAAGTTTCTGAGAAGTTTAAAATCAAAATCAGGATTAGGGGTAAATACATTTACAGGTACAGTAAGTGTTCCATTCTTAAGATGTTTCATACAACCTGCCCCTTACAATCAGACAAGGTAGACTTTTTCTCCAATGCTGTTAAATAATAGCTCTTATGAAGTGATTGCTGATCTATAAATGGAAGGTAGTCTGAGCTGTTCGGTACATTACTGTTACTTTACTGTCAGCCTGGGTTGACCATCAAGCCCTATCAGAAACACAGACGACTCTGTCCTTCAGTGTGTCCTAATTACATCTGCAGCTGCTGGAATCAGCAACTGACAAAAGATTTGGCCATTGTGCTGAAACAATAAAAGACTTTTCAGAAGGCCTGACAGATCTGTCATATACTCATAGAGCTAAAAATAATGAGGCAAATAAGAAAAAAGTTCCGAAAGTATACCAGGAATAATTAAAACTTTTCTTCGGTGAGAGCTGTACTGTGTGGTCAGAGAGTCACTGGCTGATACCCAAACCAGGAAAGGAAAGCTCACAAGCCAACAAACCTACAGTACCTTACGCTGCATAAAGAACAGTTTACGACTGCAAGTGAGAAATAAATAAAATAAACTTTAAAGGCAGTGATCTCCAACATGTTTCTGTAACTGGCCTCTTCAATCAATTTGCAATTTGTCTGGTCTTGTGTACTGAACCTTACATTCGGCTGTGCACACCCCGTCGATCGGCTCCAATAAAACCATCAAACGCTCTCTGCTCCAGTAAATACCAGGCCTAATTACCTGCCTCACAGAGTCTTTCTCTGAACCTTCAATATGAGAAACACCTGCAGGTTTTTCTGAGAAGCTTCATACTGTGAGGTCTTTTAAAGAAGTGGGGATTTCTGGAAACAAACTGGCTAAAGTAGCAACTATAAACATCTTTAAATAGCCTAAAAGAGCAAAAATCCCCCAAACCGATTTCGATGCTCAGGGATAAATGGTGCACAAGGGGTGACAACCAGTCTGAAAGCTGTCGGCCTTTCCAAACTTTGCCCTAATCCTGCCCCGGAAACTGAGAAAGACGAAAGACAGGAGGAGAGGCAGGGGCCTGGGGAACCCCCCTGAAACTGGAAAAACAGGGGAAAAGGACCCCTCCTCCGCTGTCAAGGACTGCTTTAAAACATTACTGAAATGTTACAAGCACACAGGTGAAAGGAGAAAATGAGAAACTAAACCCTTATTGTATAGTACTGTACCCAATCTGATC